TCTGTTCCCTCCCCCAAATTGTGAGGTTCATGAGGACTCGGACCTTGTCTCTCATCATCCCCAGGACAGGGTCTGACATATAGTTGCTACTTATTATCTGGTATTAAATACTTAATAAGTACTTGTGAAATCAATTAATGAGGTGCCCTCTCCCATCTGGACCCAAGGCAGACAATGCCCATCCCTTCACAGGGGCCTGGAGGAGGTGGGCCCAGACTCCTCTATGGAAGCCACTCCCCCATTGGATGTATCCCACAGCAGAGGGAGCCCTACCCCTATTACATTAGTCCAGGCCCCAGACACTGAGATGCCCCTACCCAAGAAGACGGTGGCCAGAAAAGCACATACCGTCCAACTCTAAATCTCTTCCCTGCTCTACAGTCTGGGGGCAGTGATTTCCCCAGGAGTATCACAGAGATGATGACACTGGAGCCAGGCCTTGAGGGATGAATAAGAGTTCACTGGATGGAAAAGGGAAGGGAAGGGGGAAGAGTATATGCAAGGGCATAGAATGTGGAAATACATGGAGTGTTTATTGAAAGGCAAACAGATACCATCCTGACCTCAGAGAGGCAAAGTGCCCCCTAAGCAAAGTGCCTTTGGGTCCTCACTTCGCTTTAGAACTACACAGGCCCCTTCCTCAGCAGGGAGAGACGGCATTATTCACACTGCACTCTCCTCGCCCACTTTCCTATGGCATCCAGGCCACTGGGCCCCCATGTCTTATCCACCTGACTGACCAAAGGTAGGCTCTCCTTTCCTGGACGTAGCTCCCACCCCCATGCTCCTGGCCCCTACCAGTTTGCTCCTCCAGCCCATTCTCAAACCCACAGAATTCTAGAGCTAGAAAGGTCTCAGAGGCCGTTAAACCTCATCTTTGTCAAGACAGGGCATATCCTGCCGAGAGCGGGGCAGAACCTGCCTAAAGTCACACAGCAGAGCAGAATTCACACTCAGGAGTGTCTCCACAACGGCACACCCTGAGTGAGTGGCCAGAGGTCAGGGGTTCAACCTGCTGGGCCCGGCAGCGTGGCTGCTGAACTCTCACTGTGAGAGTCGGAGCCATCCCCACTCCTCCTACCCTCCAGCCACTGCCACTGCCTGAGAAAAACCTTCGAGAGTGCGCTATCCCCAGAGCTGGTTCTAAGATTCTACAGAGGCTTCTCCCATCCAGAGTCAGAAACCCATCCAGCCTCATATGATTTAGTTTGGAGAGTGGCCTCTGGAGGCAGACTGAGTGGTTCTGTCAGTGCCACATCACTCCCAGGCAAGCAGGAAGCTTGCCTGTGTTGTCCCACATATCTGAATTACCCTGAACAGTATACAGCACTATATAGCCTGACACTATATATTTATATATTTTTTTTTTGAGGAAGATTAGCCCTGAGCTAACATCTGCTGCCAATCCTCCTCTTTTTGCTGAGGAAGACTGGCCCTGAGCTAACATCCATACCCATCTTCCTCTGCTTTATCTGTCGGACGCCTACCACAGCATGGCTTGCCAAGCAGTGCCATGTCCGCACCCGGGATCCGAACCAGCGAACCCTGGGCCGCCGAAGTAGAACGTATGCACTTAACCGCTGTGCCACAGGGCCGGCCCCAGAATATATCTTTTTCAAATGAATGAAGCTGAGTAATCTTGATCAACTTACTTTCACCCTCTGAGGCTACTTTCTCACCTATGAACAGTAACAACTGCCCATCTCCCAGATCATTGTGAGAACAAGGGACAACAGTCATGAAAATGCCTGGCCAGGGTCCGGCACACAGCAGCCTTCATGTTCCCCTTCAAATGAGCCGGCACTCTGCTCACCTCCTCCAGAAAGCCTCCTGCGATTATCTACCAGGCTCCAATCCTGGCATCTGTCCCAGAAACACTTCCTCCCCACACACTTGTCTAAAGTCCAGGTGATATTTCTGGAAAATATGGATTCCTGTTTGTTTTTTTACCTTTTCTTATGCCTGAGTCTTCCTGTTGGACAAAGGTAAGACTCCACTTTCTGTGGATCCCCCCACTCAATAACAGTCATCATCACGGGTACCTGAGGTGTAACCGAGTTGTTTTCCAAACACGGATCAGGATGAACTTAGCAAATGCCGAAGTCCTCAGCATCACAACAGCAGAAACCTGCTACCATCTGGACCATCCTCCACCGTTCACAAAGCATCTGCATGTCTGTTATCTAATTTGATCTCTGAAACACCCCTGTAAAGCCAGGATTTATTACCCTTATTTTACAGATAAGGAAACTGAGGCTTGGAGGTGTCAATAACCTGCTGGTGTCATGCGGCCTTAAAGGGGCACACCAGAGTCCAGGAGTTGTCCTGTCAGCCTCAGAACGCATTCCTTCTAGACTGAGTCCTTACAATTCAGGTGATTAAACTTAACAAACACAATAATAACCACCCCTGGCATTTCTATAATGGCTCCACTTTCCTATCTTTTTCACATTCTCTCTTTGTAAGACTCTTGGAGAGACGGAAAGCTCACAGACCCATCAAGGCAATGTCCAGCCAGGAGGTCAACCCTCTGGGAAGGTCCCCTCTCTTCCCTGAGACAGTAAAGATATCAGTGAGGTCACAGAGAAGTTGCTTGCCCAGTGTCACGGGGCTTGCTGACAGCTGAGCCAGGATATGAACACTCATTTGCCTGACTCTGACACTGCCCACTCTGCCAAGTTCCCTCACTTCTCTCTGCGCCACTTCCCATCTGTAGAATGGGCTGGAGAAAAAGATCTTTAAGCCTTACCCCCTGGACTGTGTCCTTGGGAGAGTCGTGAAAACAGTACCGGTTTTAGAGGCAGATGATTTGAGTTCAAATCCCAGTTTGAGCAAATCAATTGCTCCCTGTCCCTGAGCCTCAACTTTGTCATCTGCAAATGGGCTCAAATGAGATAATGGATACAGGGCTCCTGGCACACTCAGAATAATCAATAAGTGCCAGGTTTCCTCTCTTCTGAGTCTGTGCAGGGCAGTGAGGGGAGCGGAGGAGTGCTGGAAGACAGGTGCTCAAAATCTATTCCAAGCTCAGTTTCCCACCTTGTAGGAGGGGAGTCCAATTCGGGGAGCCGAGCCCTGCTCTGTGGGTCTTTGGTCCAGAGATTGGGAGGGGGGAGATAATGACCTCCCTGGCAAAGGCCCTGCCTCCCAGGAGTTTTCTGTGTGTGCCTCTTTCCTATCTCCCACAATCTCCATTCCAAACATTTTCCCCAGAAAGAGTGAAGCCTTCTTTGAGCTTCCCCTTCCTGATCAGTGATGCCAGTGGAGATTAGAGAGATCAGATTTATTTCTCTTAATAAACAGAAAAGAAGTTGGGCCAGGCAAGTGACAAGGAAACAACTGGAATAATAGGAGGTTGAAGCAAAAGGGAGCAGGACTTCCTCCAGTCATACCTGGGGCCACCCCCAGACCTGGGGAAAGAACAGGCAGGGGCAGGGAAGTATTGCCCAAGCACGTGGGCCCAAATCAGGCCGACCTGCTGCCTGGAAAGCCCAGGGCTACCTGACACCAGACACAAGGCAGAGGAAGGCCTGGCCACTAACCCAGTGATCCCTAACCCAGGGGTCAGCTACAGGGTCAGCTCTTCCAGCTTCTGCCTCCAGGCTGGTCTCCCAGGGGAAAAGTGTCCACTGCCCTGGGGTACACTAGCAGCCTTCTAACTCCAATCCCAACAGTCCAACCACTATCCCTCCTGCTGCAGTTCTGACGTGCACCCTCTTGAGCAAGATGGGGATGACTTCAGACTGAATCCCAGTGGGGCAGCCCTGGGACAGACTCCACGTGCTGTTGGGGCGCACAGCTCTTACAAACACCCCTCACCCAAACCCTCCCTCAGGGCCTGGCCCAGCCATCCCAGCCCCAGCACCCTGACTTCTATTTGTGGCTAGGCCACAGGGGGGCAGGGCCCTTATCCAAAAGGAAGATCAGGCCGGATGCAATCACACAAGAGGCTTTTCACCCTCTTCCTGACCCCTAAAGTGTTCCTTCTAATTCTCCTCCAGAGGAGGCGGTTAAAGGACACTGGGAGGGTAAACAGGCAGAATGGGATGCGCCCGTGCACGCCATTTCCTCACCTCTAACACGGCAGCAGGAGCCTAGGCCAGGAGGCTTCGGAGGAAGGCAGGCCCTCTTGCCTTCCCCCTCAAACGGGAGACAGAGGGGAAGATGAGGGAAAAACCAAGCAAGTGGACACGAGAAAAGTGACCTCAGCAGAGACGGGCCAGGTCAGCCTCCCTTCATCCCGCCCTTCCATCAGGCCAGAGGGAGCCCAGAGGCAGGAAATTAGCTGTTGTATTTTAAGTACCCACCCCAGTCCAGATACAGCCTCTCCATTAACTTGGGCCTCAGTTTCCCCCATCTGTAAGCACACTTCCAACAGTGGCAGTTTCTACCAGGGCTGGGGGGAGGGAAGGAGTGCCAGAAGGGGTGGTTGGTTCACATCGGTGAGCTCACCACCCCAGGAGGTGGATGTTTGCGGTTTGGCCCAGGTGAGCGGTGAGGGGGGCCAGGTGAGAAAACCTAACACTGGCGAGAACCTAAAGCATGCTACGCTCCAGGCTGGGTCCTTTGTGGGGCTGGAAACCCAGATCCACCTAGACGGCTGACTCACGTTTCGAGTGCAGGTGACCCCCCAGACCCAGAGGGACCCCCACGAGGATGCAAGGCCACTCCCATCGGCACCAGGCCAGAGTCAAGTCTCTGACCCCCTGACTCAGCAGAGGGCAGAACCTGGCTGAGCCTGCGGGAGGGGGACTGCCTCACCGTCCCAAGAGCCAGGCTGCCCGCACACCCTGCTCAAGCCAGGGGATCCCTGCCCCAGCCGGGGGTCCCCTCCTCTAGAACCGGGCAGGGCTGAGTCTGGGGAATTCTGGGGGGCGATGCAGAATGGGGGTGCTCGGGCTGAGCCCGGGCTCTCCGCCCGTCCCCGCGTCCGCGCCGGGGGTCACCCCCTCCGCACGCCGCGGAGCCACCCCGGCCGCCCAGGTGCGCGGCCGCCTTACCTCGGCCCTTCCCCTTGGCCTTCCTGGCCTTGTCGTCCGCCTTCTTGGCCCGAGGGGCGGCGGGGTCGGCGCCCTCGGCGCCCGCCGCCTTCTTCTTGCGCCGCTTGCCCCGCAGCCAGCTGAAGGCGCGGCGGAGGCCGGACGCGCCCGAGCGGGACTTCTTCCTGCGCGGGGGGCCGCCGGGGCCCCCCGGCTCGTCGGCCGCAGGTGCGGCGGGGGGCGCGCGGGCCGCCATGGCGCGGCGGGCCGGGCTGGCGGCGGGGCCCCTGCGGCGGGGCGCCCATGCGCCGGCGGGCGGGCGGGCAGGCGGCCGCCGCGGGAGACGCGCGCGCCGGAGAAAAGTTTGGGCGGCGGAGGCAGCGCGAGCGGCGGCGGCGGCGGCGGCGGCGGCGGCGGCGGGCGGCGCCGGAGGGCGGGGCGCGGGGCCGGCCGGGGGGAAGGAGCCGCGCGGGGAGCGGCCGCGGGCGGGAGCGGCGCCCCTCCCCGCCTCCTCGGCCCGCAGCCCCGGGCTGGGCGCTCGGGCTCGGGGAGGGCGAGGGCCGGCCCGGAGAGATGGTCCAGAGCCCCCGGAGGCGTGCGGACCGGCCCGGACCGAGAGGGCGGGGTCGCGGGCGGGTCCGGGGGGGGGGGGCGGTCCTGGGGTTCTGTCTCCGCCGGGGCGCGAAAGGGACCGGGTTTGGAAGCGAGGGGGACGCGCTCAGGGAAGAGGGGAAGACAATGGCTGGGGTTGGACCCCAAGAGAAGTTGATATCCTGAGTTTGGTCTGGGAAGAGATGGGGGATTCTGGAATAAGGGAATTCTGAGAATTCTTTCCAGGACCCAGACACTGTTGGAGGTTTTGCTCTAGAGATGGAGACTTCAGCCCACCTTAGACCTGTGACCTGTGGCCAACGGTGGGCCTTCCTTTCCCTCACCACATTCTCTCCCGCCTCCCATAATCTCACGGTGGAGCCGGGACCCAGGCCTCTTGGGTTCCCTTCCACTTCACCCCTTGGTGACTGGGTTAAGGAGAGCTGTGCCTCAGTATACCCTTAGGCTAGGGTGTGAGGCCCCAGGGCACCCCTGCCTGGGTTTGGATTTCCCACTGGGTCGCTCAGCACTGCTTAGGGCTGATCTTGGCCTTCATGAACTGAGCTCCTAAGGAGCTTTGAGATCCTCTGGAGGTGAGACGTGTGACTGAGGATGGTAGTAAGGAAGAAAGCCTTTAAGAATCATGAAAATGCTGTGCTCATTTCCTCCAGGCCTCTGGCTCTTTACTGTAGCTGACCAAGCACTCTTCTATCATCTGATCCCACAACAAGCTAGGAGGGAAGCAGGGCATGGAGTGCTACCCCCATAGGACAGATGAGAAACTGAGGACAGGAGAGGACAGAGATTGCCCAAGAGCACAGAGGTGGTCAGCAGCAGAGGAGCAGCCAAGACCAGCAATCTAGGTTTTGTCTGCGCCTGGTCCCCAGGGGGCTGGAAATTGCCCTAGGGGTCAGCTGTGGGTTCAGCACTCTTGGACTCCCTGGGTCCCCAAAAGGGCACTGTGGTCACCCCACCATTAGTGTTCATCCTCGTCACCCAACCTGACCCTTGTTACATAGCTTTCTCCTGGTCCTGGTCTTCATGAGAGCAAAGACTCATTTATTTGGGGCACCCAGCCCAGTCAGGCCTGTCAGGGTGTGCACAGCACTCAATATAACATTTTAGAATGATTGGAGTGCAGCGTTTGACTTCTCTAACCTGCCTCAGCCCCCCGAGTGTCCCCAGGGGCTCAGCTGTCTCAGCTGTGGCAGAGCGGGGCCATCACTGACACTCCCCCCACCTAGGGGGCCTGGGACAGATCACTGTCCTTGCTGGGCCTCAGTTTCCCATGTAACCACCGTTCATTCAGGTCCAGTCCACAATCCCAGAGCACCCATTCTGCGTGAGGCACTGCGCCATGCACAGGGATCATTGGGCCCTGTTCTCATGGTGCTCTCTACGCAGCCAGCACGAGCCCTGAGGACCCTGCCTCTCCCTCAGCTGGTGAGTACCAAAGGAAAAGTGTATAGGCAGGGCTGAGGCGGAGAGAGAGCAGCGCACGGGGCCTTGGCTTGTTGGTTAATCTGGATGCACTGGGTAGGGAGGAGAGGGGAAGGCAAACATGCTCTGGCTGCTGCAAGGGGTGATCAGGAGAGGAATGTTACTCAGTCTTGCCCCCCACCCACCCTTTCAGCACTGCCTTCTTCCCAGTAGCCAGGAGTGGCTACATAGTTTGCGGGGCCCAGTAAAAATGAAAATGCAGGGCCTTTTGTTCAAAGGTTATTAAAAATTTCCAGAGGGCAACAGCAGAGCATTCAACCAAGTGTGGAGCCTTTCTGAGAGTAGGACCATGGGTGGCTATGCCCATGAAGTTGGCCCTGCCAGTGGCTCATATAATTCCCCAGCAAACGCTCCCCTCAAACCAGAATCCCCAGGAGTCAACTCATAGATTGGGTCCCTTGATTTGGAGGTGAGGAGAGGAAGGAGGGAAGTGGGGAAAGGTCAGGGTTGCATTCCCTTCGCTGCTCCCACCTCCAACACCCCGACATTCTCACCTCCCATCCCCAGCCTGGACCACCCTCAGGCCAGCAGCTCTAGCTTTCCCTCTTGTCCCCTGGCCTAATGTACAGACATGCTTCTGAGACACCAAGAGAGGGCTAGCCTGGGAAGGGCTAGCCTGCAACCCTGCTCTCTCAATTCATGAATGCTCAGCTCTGCCACATTTTTTTGCTGTCCCTATGGGCATCTGAGGAAACTGACTTCCCAGCAGCCCCTGTTGGCAGGGCCCAAAGTCCATCCTAGAGCCAGACTGTCACCTGACCAGGCAGGAAGCTGACAGCCTGTCCCCAGAGAGGAACCAGCAACAACCAAGCCTGGGGCAGCAGGCCCTGGGCCCTCCAGCTTTGCCCCCTCTGTTTTTGGAAAACCTAGGACCATTCCAATGTTACCATGACACCTACCCAATGCTCCCTCATCCCCCACCCTTGGGAGACCTTCCTCTCACAGGCTCCAGCTTTGTCCCCTGCTGTGCCTGGCCTCTGCCCCACAGACTCCAGACTAGGCAGCCAGGCCAAGGTGTGGCTGAGCCGCCCTCATTTTATAGGGAACACCGGGAACGGTGAGAGTCTGCATATTACACAGCCAGGGCTGGGGGCACCTGTGACTTCCCGGGTTCTTAGACCAATCAGAGGGGCCGGAAGGAATTGTAATGGAGGGTGGAGCACTTCTGCAAAGTTGAAGATGTCGAGCAATTAGGAGTATTCCTGTTCCGTGAAAAGGAACCCTAAGGATAGGTGGAGTGACTGGCCAGCAGTCACACAGCTGCCTGTGGGCAGAGGTGGAATTTAAATCTGATTTCTGTTCACGTGTGTGTTTGTGCATAGTATGTGTGTGTTTCCTAATTGAGCACCGCCTTGTGCCAGGCACTCACTGCCCCACCCAAGCTGCTTTGAGAGTTGGCAGTTAAGACCCTGGAAAAGGAGAGTATTTATCCTGGGGCCGCAGCTGGGCCGCCAGGAACTTCCAGAATTGTTCTACTTAGCTTTGCATGCACCTGCATGCCGTTTTCCGGGAAAAGGGTCCACAGCTTTAACCAGAGTCTCAAAGGGGTTCGTGTTTCAGAATGAACTAAGATTCTACCCTTTGATCCTCTTCACTGAGCGGGGAGGGGAAAGATGGAAAGGGAGTCCTCGCATCTGGGGGATGCCCTCCGCCTCTCTCCTCCCTAACCTGGGGAGGTGGGGGACGGTCAACCCTGCAGATCCCATCTCCACAGGGGGCATTCCTGCGTCCCTTACTCTGTGGTTCCTGGCATCTGTGGCAGCATCTTAACATTTCAAACAACTTCCCTGCTGAGGTCTTCTTTGATCCTCCCAGCATCTCTTAGAATCAGGCCCCAAGCCTAATTCTACCCATTTTCCCTGCTAGATTGAGAAGTGAAATAGGCCCAGGGTGTTAGGGTGTGTAGCTGGAATCCTGGAGTCTTGTGGCCTCCCAGCTCTGAGTTGTTGCCAGCTCCTAGGAGGCTGAGGGAGGGAAGGAAAAAGAGAGCAGGGGGAGGCAGGAGAGAAAGGAGAGATAGCTGTTGCCACTGCCCAGTCTCCAGTTGGAATGTATTCTCATTCCCTTCATTCTTTCAGCAAATGTCTCTGAGCACCAGCCTGGTGCTCCAGGCTTCCAGATTGACCAGTTATTCTGTGACCAGAATGTCAGTCTCTTAGCCATACACGGGGGAGAAAAGTGGTTTTCCGACGTTCTCTCTTAGCAGTGGAACTTTTACTTTTCCCCTCAAGCAAAAGCCCCCCAAATTTTATCTGGCAGATAAAATGGATAACAGCAATGTTTTATAAGTATAAATTTATTTCATAAATCAAAACTTATAACCTTTACTTACCACAAAGTAAGTCAGCAGGAATAATGACAATATTTTGATGGATTAAAAATATGAAACCCTGAGTAATAGGTGATGGTTATGGTTTTAACGGAGAGCCAGCATTCAATTTATTTCTGCGGCAGTTTGTTTTAGTCAGTAATTAGAAAACACTGTGCCTCATAGACAGGCAGATGTAGATAGTAAGATTTTTAACAACTTGGTAGAAATGTCAGGAGAAGCTTTATTCAGAGGTCTGCACTGAAGTGAGTTATCCAGCAAGCCCAGCTTAATGGCTTGTCAAAAGTTAGCCTAACCTGGGTCTCATCTCAGTCCTGCCACTAACTTGCTGGATGTCCTTGGGCAAGACACTTGCCTTCTCTGGGCACCAGTATCCCCATCGGAACATCCCATTTCACCTAGGAAAGGAGAGTGTGTGTGGAGGTATCTGAGTCTGTTGGGGGGTGGGGGTGCAGCACGCACATGTGGAATCTTCATTACTCCTCCTCACTGCCCACCCCCATCCCAGCGAAGGGCCTGAAGAAGGGGCCCCAAAACCACTGAACTGCCACTGAAGGCAGAGGTGGGTTGCCATGGAGACATGCTTTGTTTCCCAACTTTCTGGCCACATCTGACAAGCACAAAAAGTCAGGCCAGATGGACACTGACCTGGGCTAAGAGAGCGGGGACTTCCTGACCCCATGATCCGCAGGGCTCACTGCTCTCCAAGGAGGGGGTTTCGTTCTGTTTTCACTCCCCAACCAGGAGGAGGACCAGCCTGGCCCGCCAGCTGATAAGGTTCGTGTAGGGGGCTGCTGGGTAAGGCCCTCAACGTGTTTGCAGACACCCACTCCACCAG